AAAAAAAAAAGGTGGTGAGAACAGGATTCAGGGTGATGCTCACCTTTGGTTTCATATGGATGAAATGGACGGAGCCATGTGGTTGTGATTTCTTGTCAAACCGAAGTGCTTGTAGAATCGTAATAAGTAAAAAAAGGCCATGTACCCCATGGGTGGGTAGTGAGAGCGTGTCTTTATTATGATTAATCTAGTTCTGTGAATATGAGAAAAACAAAGGATGAAAACTCTTTTGCACTTACTACTAAGTTTGCAGAGTGAAGCAGATCAGATGGAATTATCAACAAATCTTCAATTTAGATCGGAAGTTGAATCAGAGGAACAAATATAGCAACAAAATATTCATTAAATATAGAATTCTTAAATTGGAGTACTCTATTTATTGGAGACAGAGTTCTTTAAAACTACTTGGTGTTTTTTTGTTTTTAATTCTAAGATTTGGGGAAATGTTTCTATCAACATTTACACTGTGGTCAAGAAATGTACACGTTTATTAAAGAGCAGCCTTGGGTTGCTGTGGGTCGTAATCTACTTGACTGCATGGAATTTGGTTTGGTTCCTTTGAATTTTAGAGCTTAAAAGTAGAGTTTAAGGATGGGTATGCAGACATAAACAATGACAGTACTAGGTTGGAAGCACAGTGTGAGAAAGCCTCTGAAGTTTTGGTGTATTGGTCTTCCTTCTGACCAAAGTAATTGTTGACCAGAAATTCCTGAAGAGATGGCTTTCTCTTGGCAAATAGAGTATTAACTATATGTTGGGCCAAATTTCCTATTAGCTCAGAGTCAGACTTTGGTTTGAGGAGGTAGGACAGCAAATGTGATACACTGGGCCTAGATTTGTGGAAATTTACGAGAGTGAATTAAAATAGTTTCTGAAGTGGACACCAGGGGATTCATGCAACTTTGAAGACATCATACTTCACCCATACTTAGTTAAGGAATTCCTTACTTTTTCTTGATTTGGCCTCACTGTTTCAAGTCTAGTGACACAAGGCATTGCTAAGTTCTTGAATAAAACTTTGCTAGGCACTGAAGACAATGGACATTTTTATTTGTTTGATTTGTTCTCTAAGGAAATTGTTTTTCAGCACTGCTTTCAGCTGAACTGGTGAGTTGTTAGGAAACCTTAGTGGGGAGGAGAACTACGGGCATGGGTCAGATTGTACTCTAGTTCTGCTGTGCATAAGGTCGCTATGGGTCGGTACCGACTCGATGGTACCTAACAACAACTCCGTAGACACGAGCGTGGCAAGATTTTGTCTCACGTACTGGATATGTTGTCAGAAGCTGCCAGCCCCCCCAGAGAAGAATGTGCTTTGTAAAATAGAGGGTCAGCCAAAATAAGATCCTTGATGATTGACGCAGTGACTACAACAGTAGGCTCAAAATTCGGCAAGATTGTGAGGGTGGTTGGTACAGGACTGCACAGTGTTTCGTTCTCTTGTTTCGTTGCCTAGCACATGGGGCTGTTATGAATCAGAAACCAACCCGACACCACACTGGGACTCCAAGAGGATACTGTTGTTGTTGTTGTTAATTACCATGGAGTCAGTTCCGACTCACAGTGACTCTGCACAGGGTTTCCGAGGCTGTAAATCTTTACAGGAGCAGAAAGCCTCATCTTTTTCCTGTGGAACATCTGGTAGTTTCGAACCGCTGACCTTGAGGTTAGCAGCCTGTTTTGTAAGCACTACGCTAACAGAGCTCCTTACTACATAGTCTAAAGTCAGGAAAAGTGTGTGTCAGGGTTATATCCTTTCATGCATATTCAATCTATATGCTGAACACATAATCAGAGAAGCTGGACTATATGAAGAATACAGCAGCTGGATTGGGAGAAGGCTCAGTAACAATCTGTGACATGCAGATGACACAACCTTGCTTGCTGAAAGTGAAGAGAACTTGAAGGACTTGCTTGTGAAGATCAATGAGTACAACCTTCCATGTAGATTATAGCGTAGTATAAAGAAAACAGAATCCTCAAAAGTAGACCAATAAGGGGGAGAAAAAGGAATAGCCAGAAATACCACCATAGATATTGTAAGTCCGTCTTCTGTCTATAACTTATTGGAATACCTAAAATGGGGCTACAACATGCCCAGTGAAGGAGACTTCCTGTGGAGCCACTGCATTACATAAGACCATAAATGGAATCCTGAACAGCATCCAGAATCTTTAGAGGTGGGAAATTTCCACTTGAAAGGACAAGCACACCAGCCTGGAGTGGCAAGAAGAACAGAAGATACTTCTTGAAAGAAAGACCAAGAGGAAAAATACAAAACAATAACAGCAGTCTGTCTGATTACTACAAGAACAAGCAAGTTGCTCACCCAGGAGACATCAAGGCAAGTGGTCGGGTCCCCTTCGAGCAAACTCCCTTCCAAGACTAAGACTCATTGGGAATACCATGCTCATCACCGATAAGGGGAAGTGAGGGAAAAACAGCCATGAA